CGCCTTCATGAACGGGTTGAGGGTAGAGGATCTCTACTACAAGCTTGTCGAACAACCTCCCAAGAACCTGGGAGAGCTTTTGACCCGGGCTCACGCCGCCGCCAATGCAGAGGAGGCCGGCCGCCTGAAACGGGAATCAGATCGGGAGTTCGGGGACAGGAAAGGACGGGCAAACCCTCCTGAATCTAAGGACGGCCAAGTCAGGAAGAACGTCTTCGACCGTCTCTCCAAGGATAGGGCACCAGCTCCGCCGCCCCTCCCAGAGAAGACCTACACCCCTCTAACACGGCCCAGAGCCCAGATCTTGGCCGTTATGGAGGCGGAAGGGCTGGGAGATCGGCCGCCCAAGATGGGGACGCCCCGGAACAAAAGAAACCAGGATCGGTACTGCGCCTTCCACCGCGACGTCGGGCACGACACGGAGGGGTGCTGGGCCCTGCGCAAGGAGATCGAGGACCTGATCCAGCGCGGTTTTCTAGGGGGGTTCGTGCGCCGACCAGGTCAGAGGCTTGGACGCAACCACTACGGAGATAGGCACGAGGGACGGAGGCGCGACCGCCCGGAGCGGCGCGACGCCCCTCGGGACTGCTCTCCCGACCGGGACACCCAGAACCTGGCGGGGGTGATAAACACCATCGCCGGAGGCCCCACGGGGGGGGACAGTCATGCGGCTCGGAAGAACAAGCGACCTCCCCCCGAGGGGGACGACTCCTTGAAGCGCTTGCGCATGGACGAGGAGATTACCTTCGGACCAAGGGATGCGGTTCCCTTGGCTTTCAGGAACCATGAAGCTATTGTGATAGACATTGTCACCAATAACTACCGGGTGAAGAAGGTGTATGTCGACCAGGGTAGCGCGGTTGACATCATGTTCTATCGCGTGTTCAAGGAGCTCGGACTAAGGGATGACCAACTGACCCCGGTCCGGACACCTCTGGTGGGCTTCACCGGACCACCCATCAGCTCGGAGGGAATGATCACCCTGATGGTCACCGTCGGACAGGCCCCCAGGTGCCGGACCATTCTCGTTGATTTCGTGGTGGTCAAGCAGTCGTCCCCCTACAATGTGTTCTTGGGGAGACCCGCCCTGAACGCCCTCCGAGCTGTCTCCTCTACTTTCCACCTCAGCATCAAGTTCCCCACCCCTGGGGGGGTAGCCGAGGTGCGCGGCGACCCAGCGGTAGCCAGGGCATGCTACCTGGCCACGTTTCGGGGGCATGAGAAGGTGGTCGCCCAGACAACCTGTTTGGAACCCTACATCCCAGGGGATGAGGCCCAGCAGCTAAGCACCCAAGATGAGATGGAGGAGTTCCCCCTAAGGGAGGATCGGCCCGATCAGATTCTCCGCATTGGAGCCCTGTTGCCCGCCAAGGAGAAGGAGAGTTTGAAAGCTCTGTTGAGGGAATACTCCCAGGTCTTTGCCTGGTCGGTGGACGACATGCCCGGGATCCCCACGGACCTGGCGGTCCATCACCTCGACGTGGACCCTCACTTCAAGCCAGTAAAGCAAAAGAAAAGGAGTTTCGCCCCCGAGAGAAATGATGTGATCAGGGCGGAGGTCGGCAAGTTGTTGGAGTCCAAGATTATCCTGGAGGTCTACTACCCGACCTGGCTGGCCAACCCCGTCCTGGTCAAGAAGGAGGACCTGACCTGGAGGATGTGTGTAGACTTCACAGACCTTAACAAAGCCTGCCCAAAGGACTGCTTTCCCCTGCCTCGAATTGACAGGTTAGTAGACTCTACTGTGGGCTTTGACGTTTTATGCTTTCTGGATGCCTTTAAGGGGTATCACCAGATAGAGATGGCCGAGGAGGACCGGGACAAGACCTCCTTCATCACCGAGGAGGGAACCTACTGCTACAGGACCATGCCCTTCGGACTGAAGAATGCGGGAGCAACTTACCAGCGCCTGGTGAACAAGCTATTCCGAAACCAGGTCGGCAGGAGCATGGAGGTTTATGTGGACGACATGATCGTCAAAAGTCGAACTGACCAGCGCCTCATACCCGACCTGCGGGAGGTCCTGGACATCCTACTGAAGAGCCGGATGCGCTTAAATCTGAAGAAGTGCACTTTTGGGGTCAGATCGGGAAGGTTTCTCGGTTTCCTGGTGTCCCGAGACGGAATCCGGGCCAACCCGGATAAACTCCAGGCCATCATGGACATGGCCCCTCCGAGGAGCGTGAAGGAGGTCCAACGGCTAACAGGAAGGATGGCCGCCCTGAATAGGTTTCTCTCGCGCTCCGCGGTCCGGGGGCAGCCCTTCTTCCGAGTACTGAAAGCGCCGAAAAACTTCCACTGGACTGAGGAGTGCCAGAAGGCCTTCATCGACCTAAAAACATACTTGGCCGAGCTACCATCTCTGACAGCCCCAGAGTCGGGGGAGACCTTATTCCTATACCTATCTGCCTGCAACGAGGCCGTCAGCGCGGTCCTGGTGCGGGAGGATGAGGGGGCTCAGAGGCCGGTGTATTACGTAAGCCGAGCTCTACAGGGGCCAGAGACACGATACTCGCCAGCCGAGAAGTTGGTCCTTGCCTTGGTACATGCGGCACGCAAGCTCCGCCCTTACTTTCAGGCTCACGGCATTGTAGTCCTGACTGACCAGCCCCTGCGTCAGATACTCACCAAGCCAGAGGTCTCGGGCAGAATGACCAAATGGGCTGTCGAGCTAGCCGAGCACGACATCGGCTATCAGCCCCGCAAAGCCATCAAGGCCCAGGCCTTAGCGGATTTCCTTGCTGAAGGGGCTAGCTTGAGTCTAACCGAGCTAAGCCCCCAACACGAGGAGCGGCTGCCGAAGGAGCCCTGGGTGTTGTTCGTGGACGGGGCCTCCAGCAAGGAAGGAAGCGGGGCTGGTCTGCTACTCATTTCACCCACCGGGGAAGAACTGACCTACGCCCTCCGATTGGACTTCCCCGCGTCCAACAATGAGGCCGAGTACGAGGCCCTGCTCACAGGATTGCGGATAGCCCACCAGATGGGAATAACCGCGATCCAGGCCAAGAGCGACTCGCAGCTCGTCGTCCTTCAAGTCCTTGGGGAGTACGAAGCCAAGGACGAGGTTATGAAGAAGTACCTGGCCAAAGTACGAGAGGCGGTGGCCTTGTTCCAAACGTTCGAAATCGAGCGGGTGCCAAGGTCCCAGAACAAGCGGGCAGACGCCCTTTCAAAGTTGGCATCCTCCTCATTTGCCCACCTGAGCAAGGAGGTATGGGTGGAGGTGCTAAAGCAGAAAAGTATCGATCAGGTCCAGGTCCTGACTATAGACAGCTCGGCCACCTGGATGACGCCCCTCATTGACTTCCTCAGCTCGGGTGCCCTCCCCGAAAATAAAGCCGAGGCACGCCGAATCCAGCTCCGGGCTGCCAAGTACACCTACATCGGGGGTACCCTTTATAGGAGGTCGTATTTGTCCCCCTGGTTAAAGTGCGTGACTCCCGGGGAAGGTGATTACGTCCTGCGCGAAGTCCACGAAGGAATATGTGCGGCACACGTGGGATCTCGGGTGTTGGCCAAAAAGTGCCACCTTTTGGGCTACTACTGGCCCTCTGTCTTCCGAGACGCAGCGGATCTGGTCCGGAAATGCCGAGCTTGCCAGGTACACGCCTCGTTGCGTCATCAGCCAGCTCAGGAGATGATTCCCATCCATAATCCTTGGCCCTTCGCTCAATGGGGGATAGACCTCCTGGGTCCCTTCCCCCGAGCCCCGGGAAGATATGAGCACCTCGTGGTAGCCATAGACTACTTCACAAAATGGGTGGAAGCGGAGCCCCTGGTCTCTATCTCGGGGAAGGCAATTCAGAAATTCTTTTGGAAGAGCATAGTTTGCCGGTTTGGGATTCCGCATGCCCTGATATCCGACAACGGCCGCCAGTTCGCCGAGAACCCTTTCCGCAGCTGGTGCGCTGAGCTCGGAATCAACCAACACTTCACGTCGGTTGGCCACCCCCAGGCCAATGGCCAGGTGGAGAACGCTAACCGAACTGTCCTGCAAGGGTTGAAGGCTAGACTGGAGTCCGCCCAATCAAGCTGGCTGGATGAGCTCCCCAGTGTCCTCTGGGCTTACCGCACTACGCCCAGGACGGCTACTCACGAGACCCCGTTCTCCCTAACATACGGAGTAGAGGCCGTGGTGCCCGCGGAGGTCGGTCTTCCCTCACCCAGAACACAGAACTTCGTGGCAACATCCAATGAGGAAGAGCTTAGGTGCAACCTGGACATGCTCGAAGTCAGGCGGGAGGAAGCGGCTATTCGAATGGCTAAGTATAAAAGCCAGCTCGCTCGCTATCACAACGCCAAAGTAAAGACCATACAGTACCAGCCAGGAGACCTCGTCCTGAGGAAGAACTCGATAAGCCGGGTACACGGCTCCAACAAGCTCGACCCAAATTGGGAGGGCCCCTACAAGGTCCTTGAGGCGAGCCGAGCTGGCTATTGCAAGCTCGCTAAGATGGATGGATCTGAAGTACCTCGGACATGGCATATCTCCAATTTGCGATTGTTTGTAGCGTAGGTAAAACCAGGATGACCAGTTGCTTGTTCTCTAGGTCCGGATTTTTGTTTTCTCATTCAATCACAGCTCGTTTTCATTTTCCATTGTACTTGTTTCATTTTACAATTTTCAAACCTGCACCTTACACTAGCACATTCAGCACTCCCTCGCTCAACGTCCTAGTAGGGGGCTAGGGGTGGTGGGTGAAGTGTGAAGTGTTCGGCCCAGGAGGTCGGCAGGTGAAGTGTGAAGTGTTCGGCCCAGGAGGTCGGCACGAACGCACTTAATGCTTAAAATACTGAAGTGTGAAGTGTTCGGCCCAGGAGGTCGGCAAGAACGCACTTAATGCTTAAAGTACTCGGTCGGAAGTGCGAATTGCTCGACCTAGGAGGTCGGCAAGGACGCGCTTAATATTTAAAGCACTCAGCCCCAAGGGCGTGAGGTGTGAGGTGTTCGACCCCGGAGGTTGGCACATAGCATTGCGAGTGGGCGAGGAAAGAAGAAAATAACTTCGAAATCTTATGTATACATTGCAAGCCTATCTATTACAGAGCTTTCGAGCTGCCTATCTACCGTAAAACTTCCGAGCTGGTAATCTCCTTCGATGTCTGTTCTACCTGCTGGTGGCCCGACCGGGGTGGAAGCTGAAAGTACACCTCAAGCATGTTGAGAGGCGTATGGTGAAGGATATTCAGGAGCCCGGAAGCAGGAAACCCATTCCGTCCTGGATGGACCTCCAAGAGCATTTTCAACTGGAACATGGTCACATCCTTACAAAAAGACAGAAAGGGCTCCTGGAGTGGCCACCGCCCTAGGCCACCGGCTCTTTCCCGGCAGCTCTGCCTGGAGACCCGTCCTCCTCCAGGGGAACCTCCTCTAGGTCTGCTCCTACGTCGGTTCGGCGGACCAGGCTCTTCAAGGCATGCCCCTTCCGGTACCCATCAAAGAGCCAGTCCAGCCTATCCTCGGCCGCAGGATCGTAGTCCTTGAAGTCCGCCACGTTGAAGCCGGGTAGGTTAAGGCCCTGCACCTGGGTCAGGGCGCGCGTAGAGCCAACCTGGAGGATGGGCCGGTTGAGGAGGGCGATGTCCACCTCGAACTGATCGGAGGAGATAAACTCCCGAACAGCCTTCTTCCGCTCTCGGCTGACGGTGCCGGAGAGCTCTACGGCATGTTCCTCCTTCAGCCTGGCCGCACCAGCCCTCTCCTGGTCGAGCTCCGACCTGGTTGAGGGGAGCTGGACCTGGGCGGCATCCATCTCCTTCTCGGCCTTGTCTAATTTGGCCTTAAGGGAGCTGGCCTCCTGGAGGGCCTGGGAAAGCTTCCTCTCCACCTCCAGGTTCTTCTTCCTCAACTTCTCCAGGTCGGGAGACAGCTCGGAGAAGCGGGTAGCCAAGGCGGCACCGGCAGCGTTGGACTGAAAAAGAGAGAGCAGATCAGCATGTCACATCACTTAACCCAGACACGGGGGTGAAATTAACCCAGGGGTGATACTTACTTGGGCCTGGGCGGTGTAGTACGCGTCCAAGAGCTCGGAGGGGCTGGCCAGCTCCATCCACTTCCTGTCCCTAGGAAGGACCGATCCCACCATCAGCTCGCGAGCCACCTCGGGGAACTGGGCTCGGTCGTTGATGGAGAGTTTCCAGGACGGACAGAAGTGGCGGGGGTCATGCATCGTGGGGGCTTGGCCTGGCTTCAGGGGAGCTACGTGGCGGAAGTGCCACAAGCTCGGGGGAGTCGACTCCTGGACTTGCTCCCCGGCAGAGCCCACGCCCAGGTGGACTGGTCCCCCGGAGACCCGCGCAAGAGGAGGAGGCTGTGCGGAGACCAGGGCGTGCCTCTTCTGCCCAGCCTGAGAGGGCTCGTCCCCTCTGCCCCTCTTCTGTCCGGCCGCCTTCTTTTTGCTGGCGGCCTGCTGGGAGGGGGATGGTTGTGATATCTCCTTCTGGGGGGCTGAGCCGCCCCCCGGGGTGGAAGACCCACCTGGGGACCCCCGAGCAGCTCCGGGTTGGGGGTCGGGAGTGGCCTTCTCGAGAGATGCGCCCAACAGCTGGGAGAGCTTCCTCACTGAAATGAACACCAGGTCAGCCAAACGAAAGACAGTAAAAGGCAAAAAAGGGAAAATCTATACGCTATGAATAAAGACAGGGACAGAGCCAGCGTTACAGGTGTCGAGTTTGGGCTGGGGGGTCGCCACTTCCCCAGAAGATCCGGACAACGTCCCCATCAGCCCTGCTGCGGAGATCTGCTCGGTAGAGATTCTGGTAACATCGAGCTTCACCTTGGAGCCCAACAGCGGGCTGAGGGTCTCGTAGCCCAGGTCCTTTGGGTAGGGGTCGGCCTTGACCCCCCCAACCTTCCACACATTGGGGGGAAAATGTGTGGATCTGACAAAGAAGAAATCCTCCTTCCAATCCTTAACGGAGGAGGGGAGGCCGAAGAACAACTCCTGGGCCCCTTTCCCTCCCTTGGTCTGGGGGCCCCGACGGGAGAAGTAGTACCACCCCGGAAGGGAGGACTTAAGAATGAAGGCGGCTCGGAAAAGGGAGAGAGAGTAGGGGATGTCGCAGAGAAGGCAGTAAATCAGGAATCCGGTGATGATCCTGATGGAGGTAGGGTGAAGTTGGGTGATTCTGAGCCCCCAGTAGGTCAGAATATTGGTCAGAGCTGGATGGATGGGGAGACGGAGCCCTGCGATGAGCTGCTCCCTGTAGATGGCCACGAAGCCTGGGGGAGGTCGGCAGGCTCGGTCGTCGGGCCCGGCCGCCCTCGGCTCGAAGGCCGGAGGGATGGAGTACGACTCGGCCAGCTCGGCCACGTCCTGGGGCAATAGGGTGGCCTCCTGTAGGTCTGGGTAACCGTAGGAGAATTCGGGATCCTTCCCCTGCTCCGAGGTAGAGGTCCCCTCAGAGGGGTCCCTGTCTTCCCCAGCTCCGCCCTGGGCCCTGTCAGGGGAATCATGGGGGGACTGGGGAGGGGAGGTGGTTGCGGCCTCTCGCTCGAGGTAGGCGTCGAGCTCAGCCGTTTCCTCTAGAGCGCGGGCAGAAAAAGGATGGGATGAAGGAGACTGGGGTGGAGGAGAGCTCATGGTGTCAGTAGGCTCGGGCAGGTCTGAGGTGTGGAAGCTGGGACTAGAAGCAGAAGAAGGGGAAAGAGGGGGAGGAGAAGATGGTGACGAAGATGAGGGTGAAGGCGAGGAAAGAGCGATGATTCGGGGAGCTCTGCGGCGGACTGATACTATAGCAACAGAGGAGGAAGAATGATCCGACATAAAAAGTAGGAGGTAGCAGAGGGCAAAAAAGACACTGCAGAGGGGGAAGATGAATCGCAGAAAGGACTTACTGAGAACGGCAGAAGAAGGACTGAAGGCTCGCCGGAATCTGGGCACAGGACGCCGGAGGTTGCTGGAAAATGGAAATGTGAGTGCACAGGGAGCGTGATAACTTGAAATGCACAAGAAGAAGCGGAAATGGCAAATGGGACAGATGAGAATTTGGCATCCCCTATTTATAGGGGGAAGAGTGGAGGGAAAACGGTTGCGTGAATTTGAACCGACCCCCATGTGAACGCATTTAATGCTGGTACGAAAACCGAAGAGGCGGGACAGCTGAAAGGACGCGGGCACAGCGTCCCTGTGACAGCACTGTACCAGAAGTGACCTCGGCAGAGTAGTGCGCGGCTCTGGCCTTCCACGTGGCGGAGGTAGATTAGGTCTGCCTGACAGTCCTACCCAATCTAGGGGGCTAGTGCAGAGGCCCCGTTCCGGGCCCAGACACGCGGCAGCCCAGGAATGGCCGAGCTGGGCCTTGACCCTCAGACCCCTGGGAGCAGCCCCGGGCCGTACTGACTAGGGCTCCCAGGGGAGGCGAAGGTCCATCCCGAAGAGGTCGGGGGAAGTCCCCCCCCAGAGTGCGGGACACTATCTATACCGGGCAAGTCCCGCATCGTGCGGAGGTCGGACTCCCTCGCAGGTATAAATAATAGCACACATCTACTGTACAAAGGACGCTGATTACTCGGCTAATACACTCTGACTAAGTTAATCCCCGTGAACCCTACTCACCGGAAAACTAACTTGACCGTCGGAGTGCCCTCGGGGACCACCTCAGGGCCCACTCTGTTAGCTCATCTTCTCTGTTTTGCAGGTCTTGGATCAGCTCTCCCATCGACACCCCGAGCTGATCAGGTCAGCTCTCCTCGGGGAAGCGTCTGCGCTTCTTCACTTACCAATGCAAAAGCATACACAGGAAAGGTCAAAAGGCTACTGAAAATTTTACCAATGCAAAAGCACCGGCAGACACAGAAAGATATAGCAATAATATTAGCAGGTGCTTAGACAACGGCATCATCCGACCCACTGCGATCTCCAACACATACATGCATGCGACTGTCTGAGCGTAGCCCTATATTTACAGAAGCTATAGGAGCTCAGAAATTTACACAACAACAAACAACTAGTTGCTTAGGGAAGATGAGGCCACAACAAAAATACATACGAACTTCTGAGGCTCCTTGCAATACTTTGCTCAGGGATGAGCTATTTAGAGATGTACTCGGGGCATAATACCAGTAGGTCTCTTTAACATTTTACTACACTCCTAGTTGGGTCAGTGCTTTCGAAGCCAGTTGCGAAAGACCAAGAGAGGCTAAGAAAACAGTTCTCGCAGAGCAGATGGTGAAACTGGTACGAGTCTTTCGTTTCTGCCAGTAGCAAAATAGTTCAAGAGAGCAGAACCTGCTGCTTTCCAGGCAAACCCACATTTTCCTGCGTCTTTTTTGCTAATGGCATAGTCATAGGTTACTTGATATAATGCAAGTGCCTCCTTATGGATCTCCTGCACATCCTTCTTACTTTCTTCAAACTCTGCTGCTTCGTACAGTAACTGCAATCACATAGTTCTTTCAACCAAGTAATTTTTCTCTTTACCACAATGTAAATAAACTACATAGATGAAAACTGACCCGCTTGTATTTCTTGATTACGTCATCAGCAGCATCATTCCTAGATTCATCATCCTTTTGCAGTGCCACATTCATCTCCTTTCGATACTCGTTGTACCTTCCTCTCCAAGAGCTCAAGTAGTTTTGGGGAACTTCGACATCGAACCATGGTAGTTTTTCAATATCTAGAGTTACACGTGGAAGATGGAGGTCAGTCTTGGAACTTAGTAGAACTCATGTTTTGGAGTCAGTTGTCAAGAATATAAAACCAATCAGGCTTTTTCCAAAGAATCCAGCGTAATTTACAAGAAAGATCATCAACCCCTAAATATCAAGGTACAGGCACAGAGAAGAATGCAAACCACCTATACACCGTTGTTCAGATTGAAATGCCTCTGCTCTATCATAAATGTCACCCAACACAGAAGTAGAACGGTAGCTACCATCCTTTCCCATGTAATGGGGAAATCTTTCTGCCTTCAACTCCTCAGGTACAATGACCTGTGAAAGAATGAAATGGACTACGTTGATCAGATGATTTTCAAACTTCTTCTCGGCATGTTGATGATAGTAGGAAACATTTATAGCCTATCTTTGACACCAAACAAATACAAACATGCTAGTTCTCCAAAACACACAAATATCTAAAATCACAATTAAAAAGATGGCAATGAACATCACTTCTCAAGGTATAAAAAGTATGAAAAGAGCTAAAAAGCAATCACCATTTACCAGAAGAAATGAGAGCTACATGTTTAAAATCCAAGCGAAGAAGCACAACTTCAAAGTGCTAGAGGAACGCACACAAATACACAAGCACATCAAGCCAAAAAAGAATCTAGAAAGTAACCATGACAGACTCGTCCACAAAAATTTGAATGGCAGTTGCAAAAAAGATTTGTATCCACAGAACTGACCTTCGTTCCACATTTTGGTGCATCTAGCGCGTCATAATATATATCAATCAACTTAAGCATATTTTCTTTCAAAGCATCTTTCTCTTTGGCATTGTCATCACCCAATATCAAGAGACGGTCCATAAAAGCTAGCCAACTATCAGCCGCAACGGCCATATTATAGCTGAAAAGAAGATCAAAACGTTAGAGACATTCACAACAAAAACAAAATCTGTCGGGAGGTTATTTCCAGATATTAATTGATGTGGCATTTGCAATTGAGGAGATAGCAATCGAAGGACATAACAGTGACAAACATTCAATTTGGGCTCGTACGCTCTTATCACTTCCATAAACAAGGTAGATGATCTATGCATTTGAGCCATTTTTCTTAATATTATTGATTAATAGCCTCATCACCATCATCCTTGAGCATCCAAAACTTCCAACATGTTCTTCTGAAAGGAATTTGCTTCTATGTTTTCTCCTAACTCACTACTACACAACAGAGAAATATTGGAAACACCCGTTATCTGGAATTGAATAATAATTGATGACACAAGTACTTCACAAAATTTCACATGGTTCTCCTTTTGTATACAGGCAGTACTCTGCAAAGATTCACAAAACATTTAGGCATTCAAACAGGAATAAGTACATAAATCTAAGCTTGAACCCAGTGGTGTCACATGAGTATCTAATCAATCCAGTAATAAGCCCAAATTCACCATGTTCGAGCAAAGTATCTGTATGTGCATAATACTACATATATGCTAAGTTGTGTTTACATATGCGTATCATATGGATAAACATGTTATCTCCTGTACAGAGATACATAAATATTTTAAAACACCATGCATGTTTATGCTTGTTTGTGACTGTCAATGCATGAACGATATGCACATGCTATTCTTACATGCAGAGATGGCAGCATACCTTGGCTTCTTTAGAAAATGTCGAAAAAGCTCATGCTCCAATTGTTCAGCTGAATATGCATTTGGATTCTTACTCTCTGCTCGCGGACTTGGATAAACACGCGTCCATGGTGGACTTGCTCTGAAGTACTTTAAGAGCTGTCATCCACGGAGATAAAAAATCAAAGCTAGATCCAATTTCTTACACAAATTTAGAGCATATGCAAACTTTGCTACATCTGCAAATACATGAATGCTAGAAGCCAAAAAAAAAAAAAAATGCCAGGAGAGATAGATTCCAAGACAAGCAATTCTGTGGATCTAGCTAAATGAAAAATCTCAGAGTTGTAATATATGCTGGGATACCTCAAGCAGACAGGTACCATAACACATGAACATAACATGGTACCAAAGAAACACAGCACAGCTCATTGCTGGACCAGATTTAACTTAAAAGTGCCACAGCATTTTATATTTTCAACATCTCTCTTCACGTTTTACCTTATAAGCAACACGAGACCAAGAGAACTAGATTGATAGATTTGCAACTTGCAAGCAAAAACCAGATTGACTAGCATCTTAAGTTTCTGATTGCTCTCTCTCTCTCTCTCTCTCTCTCTCTCTCTCTCTCTCTCTCTCTCTGTCTCCTTCACATCAATACCCACACGCTCAAGATACATAAAATCTTATGACCAATATAAAAAAATTCAGAATAGGAATCAAAAAATGACTACTATTAATTTAATCACAAGATTAGTGAATACGAACCTGAGGATTTCTAGAAACCCAATACATGTCACCATCAAAGTCTCCATTTGCAATTTCAGAAGCAACAGATCTCCGACCTTTCGTGGAGAAGAATATACCATATTTGGCATTGCCAATTATATCCTCCAGCTCCGGCACATAAACCGCTTCAAGGACATGGACATCCCCAAAATGCAGACCTGGATTCCTGTAAACTAAAACCTTCCCAGATACCTGACCATTATCCCTAATATACAAGAAACCAGAAATATCAAAATTAGCATGAAGATATTATTTTGGATTCCAATCGTATATTATTCATATATGGGATAATATCAGAAACCTCCCTTGAGATTTATCTTAATATCACCCACCACCCCTAAGGTTTTAAAAATATCACTTACCTCCCTTATTTTTGTTATTTGTGTAACAAAATTTTTAAAAGCCCTAAACTACCCATTCACTTGCTAAATAACAATATTCCTAAATCACTTTGTTCACTTCAAAAAAACCATCGCCTAAAAAACAATCTCTTATAGTACTACCACATCATAATGTTATACCGCATAAAAAATAAATTTGAAATGAAATACACTTGCACCAATTTCACTCTATATGTTTAAAACTGATTTCTTATAAACCCTTGCCCAAACTATTACATTGTACCAATCATTATAAAAATTAACTCAAAATAACCAAATAAATCATACCCCATTTTATCACAATTACAAAAAATGAGTAATAGAGAATGATAGAAAAAAAGGTAAGAGAAGAAAGTTACTTTTACTTTTGAGCTACAATTATTTGATATGTGAATTATGTGTCAAGTGAGGGGGGAGGTAAGTGATATTTCAAAAACCTCAAGAATGCCAAGTGATATTAAGAGAAATCTCTTAAGGGAGGTTTCTAATATTATCCCTTCATATCTTTGCAAGATGAGTTGTGGACTTGCATAAAGGACCTGTTTTCACCACATTTGTTATGAGAGTCCTTAAACAAAGTTAAAGATAATGGTACTAATTCGAGTACATGGCATTCTCTCCAAACTAGTACTTCCCTTGATGCATAAAGAACGAGGATGAAATAAAATCACTTCACTTAAATATAAATCATGCAAGTGGTGAGAATAATCGAAGCCAATTAAAAGAACAGAGCATGTAAAAAGTCTACATACAGGACCACACAAACTTCATTTTCTTTCAACAAGCCTGTAGGAGTAGGATCAGCCGTTCCCATCAAGTAAAAGCTTTCACTAATAGGGATCTTTCCTTCTTTCAATAGGGTTCTTTCATTATTTGCCAACTCAGATAGACGTTTTTGTAAATGAGGCTCATTAAGAGGGATTCCAGCTAACAACAGTCTTAGAGCACCGCCAGTATCATAAAAACCTTCTTGATTTAGTGCAACTGCATTAATTAAAGCAGAGAGGGAACAACATTTAGAAAATTATCACTACATATGAGGAAAACGAAGAAAAATAACGAAAAAGTAACTAGGTTATCACTTTTTGCTGTATAGTTAAGCAAAACAACAAACTGAGGACAACAAAGATTTCAAGAAAAACAACCAAATTCAGTAACTTGTGCTTAACAAAATACTCTGTATCTGTCAAAGAAAAAAAGAAAAGAAAAGGATAGGTAACTTCCCAAAATTGCAAAAGTAA